GGAGCACTTCTACCAAATCAACCACTTGGAAGAACTCTGAGAAGACTCAAACAATCACGAAAAGATGGTGATCACACTTCGAATAGGAAAATATAAGGACCGCTATCCATCACAGCAGAGGAAGATATTGCAATAACTGAGACAAACGGCAAGGTAACTGATCCAAATGATCCGAGTTCTGGAGGGACTGTGAACAACGCGGCGCTTCTTATGGAGTTTCCTCAGTTAAGTCCTTAAAGCTAAGAAGATACTCAAGATTGGACAACCAGCAGAATATGGAAGAACGAAGGTGGTGCTGCAGACTGCACAATATACGACCGTCCAGCTGGCGCGATACTTTGAACGTCTTCAAAAGAATAGCGAAACACGATTTCGGAAGATTATGGAGTTCTCTTCAAGAAGGCTTTGTAAAGGTTCTAGTATTCTAGTATTATTGACATCATCCATACTTTCCGGGTATTGATGGTAAAGATAAGGAAAAACAAAGATTGCATGTGGCTTTCCTGGACTTAGAAAAAGCATTTGACAAGGTGCCTCATAACATTATAAGGCGGGCGCTGTAAAAACCTCTAGCAAAACATATCAAAGGGTTAAAATGATCTATAACGAAGCTACCAGCCAGCGGACACCAGCAGGCAGCTCAAAAGTGTCCCGCAACAACTCGGAGTCCACCAAAGTTACGGAAGGCCTCAAAAGACAACCAAAAAAACGAACTGAACTGCATGGCTTAAAACTCAACACGAAGAAAATAGAAATGAGAAGTCGAAGTCCTGATAACATATGCATCAGTGGTGAGCCAATGAAATGAAATTGTTCAAGTACTTGGCAAGCTGAGCCGCGAAAGAAAAAACGAAGACGAGCCCAGATGCAGCCTTGTTGAAGTGGAGAATAAGCTTGGTGTTATGGAGACTATTTATTGCGATGGACTTAAGTCTCACGATGAAGGATCACATCTGTAACGGCATGGTTAAAGGGGATAAATACGCGAAAAAAAGTCGTACAGGATTTTAACAACTGCAAAACTACTCGACCAAGCCATTGCGGATGCTCTACTAAATTTAGGTTTTAGTTGATGAAATTGAGATTTGGTACAATGCTTTATTTTTCCAGTTTTGGGAATTAATTAAGAGAAAAATTCAACAGTAAACCTGTTAATCAACTGAGCTTATGGCTTAGTTGATTAACAAGTTTATTGTTGAATTTTTCAGCTTACAACGGCCTATGCTCTAAATATAGGGAAATATCCTATACTGTTGAAGGGCCTATGCTCCAGATATAGGGAAACATCCTATAGCTAACTAATATGCAACCGGTTACGTTAACCAGAGTGAACTTCGACCTTCACAAGGTAATTGACGAGCTCATCGCAAACCTCTGCTCAAGGGGATCAACATCCCCTCCCCCCGAGGGACACTTTCTCCCACTGGAGTTTATTCTAAACATGACCACTCTAGATGGCATAAAATAAGCTGCACCATCTCCTACATCTCCCACAGGTCATATGGTAAATACGGCTCTTAAGATTTTGTATTTGAAGCATTCTTTGCCAGGTACGACAACGACGGAGTAGTACTGCTTCAGTAGACACCAACGAAGTAAGCACCACCAATTCATTTAGCACGAAATTATAACTCATCTTAAGTCGTGAAGGAAAATACTACACCTTTCAGGAAAGGTCAAAGAGAAAGACAAGATCAGCCGAAACTGTAGACGTTACACAACAAGAACGACGAAAGGTTGGCGCTGAGTCCCAAGTGCAGCTTTAGCTTCACATCTTATTTTACAGAGAAAAGCGCCAGTTGTACCTCCAGAAGTTGAGAAAGCTGTCGAAGACTTCATAAAATTCACAGAAACAGGTCTGCTTCTTTGGAAATGCTGCTCATTCAATTTGTCAGAAAATGAGTCTGACAAAGGACGTATTACCTCAGCTTTATTTTATAAAAGGACGTCATAGTGGCTTATCCATATTTTGCTGAACTTTTGCAGCTGGTATCGAAGGTCTACGCAAAGAGTGTCGCGCTGTACTCGATTTCAAACCTCGACCAGGAACATATGAGAAATTTAAATCTTGTCCACAGTATAACCGATATAGGGTAGGGTCAGAAGATCTAAATCTGACCACCAGTGTTGAAGTCTAATTCAATACTTTAGGAAGTTCCATGCCTTGACGCCACACGTGTAATTCTTCAACCTTCGGAAGGTAGTAACAACGACTATATTCATGCTAACAGAGTCAAATTAGATAAGGTAATCAGAAAATTGATTATAGCGCAGGAATAAAACAGCAATAATATGGATATTACAGGCAGAACGTGAATTTATACTAACACAAGGCCCTAAGAGCAATACAATAGAAGACTTTTGGAAGATGATCTTTCAAGTGAGCTCAGTATGTTCCTCAGCTGCTAGTTCTATAATCAAATGCATTTAAAGGAACAGTGCGCTGGTGTAGTTATGCTGTGCAACTTCTTTGAAGAAGGCACACAATCATGCGAAGACTTCTGGCCGACAGATTCTGGTGCATACAAATACTACGGGAAGATGTTTGTCAACAATAAAAGAGTAAGTTGTAAGAAGCTCTGTCTTAAAAAGTTTTAGATTTTTTCTTCAGATTGACCACCTGGACCAATACGATGTGTACACATTAGAAGTCCTACCTGATGGATGCTCAAATTCAATTATAACGAAGCTAGCACATTGTACAACATGGCCAGAAAAAGTAAAGTTCTCGGAAACTCAAATAAATGGATGAATGAACGAATCAATGATTTCTCAGGCAGTTCCCACTAGTGGTCGAATGGTGTTACGATTGATTAGATGGACCCAACAATTAGAGGTATTGTTAGTTGTCTACCATTTAACGGAACACTCTAGTTCACCACAACTTTTTTAGCCAGGATCCGTCACAATTATGTGCAGCGCAGGAGTTGGTCGAACTGGGACATTTGTAGCAATAGATGCTGTCTGTACTAGGCTATTTAAAGGATATGAAGGCAAGGTTAGATCCATCAGATTTTCTACTCGCTGGAAAAAAAACTCATACTACTTTTTCTCCTCAATTTTTTTTCGTATACTCGGGTCCATTTGTGCTTTTTTTGTGGTAAATCAAGAAATCAAGATCAGAAATTAGTCGAGCATCAAAATTGATTCTGGAAACTTTTCACGAAAAACAATCCTTGAAAAAAAGCCCTTAGCTCTTTATTTATTTTCAGGTCAAAGATATTGTGATGAATATACGTCAACAACGCGCACTAAGCATACACAACGAAATACA